GCGCCGTGTACGACAAGCAGGTGGTGCGAGAGCACGAGAAGGCGCGGGACGAGTGCGAGATTCTCAGTCTCGTGCGTCTCGGGCGAACGCGCGCAGATTGAGGTGGACGATACCGATTTAGGAAACTAGTCAATCTGTAACACCCAAGTGTCGTCAAAGATGCGTGATACCTAGTTCCAAACGCGAACGAGCGCCGAGCCAACGCATTGGAGAACGAGGTCTGGCCAAGAATAACGTGGACCATGGGCGCGCGCGGCCACTGTAGGTGACCGCCGAGGGCTGGCAGCTCCGGTTGCCGGTAGCTCGAGAAGAGAACGGATCTGATGCGACGTGGAGCGAGGAGTTTGTGACGGGTGGTATGGTGTTGCTGGGCCGCCAGCGGTCTCGGTGCCGACTGCCGTGTGCAAGCAGCAGGACGTCAAGTGTGACGTGCTCAAGCTCGGAAGCATCAGGCTCGATGTCGCGAGATGACGCGCGCGCTTCGAACGCGGCATGGCGCTCGCGCAGCTCCTTCTGCTGCTGCGGCGGCGGCGTGGCTCTTCGTCGTGTCGACCATTTTTGATTTGCACTTGGTTCTGGTATCTGGAATGTGTCCGGATGTGACGCAACAAGCACGGGTCATCGTCCGCGCACATGCGCTCGAGGTTATCGCGGTTGGCGTTTGTCTCGGCGCATCGATTATGTAAATCACACAACGTAGGCGCCCAACGTAAAAAATGGTATTTCTACCGCTACGGCGCCGATGGCTGTGACCAGCGCTGCATCGACGCCAGCAGCCGCGACCCGACACTGGAGTATCACCTCCGCGAGGCTCTTTTGCGCCTGTGTACACTGTACACCTGCGTCAAGGCACTAGCGCCGACGCTTGATGGTTGCGACGCTGCTCAAAACAATACTGGTACCACCAATCGTGCTTGGTGTGGCATCGGTCCTCGACGAGAAGCATTCACATGCTACCGGTACATGAGGACGCAGCGATCTTTGCAAGCGCTTACCTAGTGAACCAATGTCCTAAATGACAGGGATGCGTGACGGAAGAAAGACCTGGGCCACACGAGTTTCACCGTCCACAGTCGACATAACGCCTGCTTGCGACCGCCCTGCCGTGCTACACGATGCTGTGCAACCGAGGCGCTGGAGAGTAAACAGCAGAATGGGCGACGCTCAAGGTTACTCCTATCATCTTGTAAAAGCTCTCCGTTTTTCCTTTGTCGTGCTCGCTTTTACACTTGTTTTTACACGATTGAACGTTTTCGCGGACATGTGACCTTCTCCGGACGTCATTACAATCGAGTGTTTTTCAGATTGTGCGACCTCGGACATACGATACCACATCAATATCATCACACACGTTGTGATAATACATCACCGTGAGTGCGGAAGTCGAGCATTGTGACTCACAATGCTCGACTATGCAATTACGACGCCCAGATGCATCGCATCCTGTCGAGCGATTGTATGCGATGCATCTGGGCGTCGTAATTGCATGAATGTCGCTTTGAATCATATTTTCCATCCAGTGGTAGGGCGATCGATCGTCGCTACAAGTGTAAAAGACAGAGACAACGGCTTCCCAACCGCGGTCATTCTTTTTTAACGTTTTAAGAGCGCTTTGTATATGTGGTGGAGGATTGCGCGCGCTGTACGACTGCAGCATCGTCGTAGCGTGGCCTGCTCTCCTCCCCAAAGTGTCTTCTATAATTGTGCCAACTTTGGGCGATTTCATTTCAAACGTGATGTGGTCGACGAGTGGCGTCCGCATCGTGGTGTGGTGCCTCTAAGATGGCACTACGATCTTAGTTTGTAGTGCATCTTGGATCACGTCTCGCTGCCACTCTACACCTCGCTCGTCGACGCGACCTCGCATTCTGTGGTCACCAAAGCGCCCTCTACAAATGTGCCAAATCTTGGTGAGTTCATTCTCAAATGCAATGTGGTCGACCTGGCGTTGGTTTGGATGGAATCGCCACGAGAAAGACTGAAAATGTACGAAATTGTGCAGTGTACGACGCTTGGTGTGAGGGAGACTCTCGATTCCGGTGACAACGACGGCAATCTCAAACAAATAGTACGCGATCTTCCATCAAGCCGACGCCGTCGACAATACCGTCCAAGAGCAGCACAATATAAATAGTGTTGCGCAGCTGGGACTTGACGACGCGGTGCGCGTCCGAGTCGAGGCGCGTCGCTGCGGCCGTCGCCGCATCCCGTAGCTTCGCGACCACTCGTCACTGGCTTGCAGAAGCGCGCGCGCTGGTTGTTGTATAGAAGCCACCATACGGCGCAAGACGCGTGAATTGCGACGATGACGTCGGACGCCGCCGCGAGCACCGCCTGCCACTGGACGAGTGCGTTTTTGCTCCAGGGTGTACACGACATGGAACGCACCCAGCACGTCGTCACATGCAGTACGACGGGCGTTGCCAAAAGGTTGCCTAGATGGCATGTAATTGGGTGCTGCTGCCGAGCTCGGCGTGGCTGTCGTCGACGCTGGCGATGTTGCCAAGACTTCGACGAATCCGACAGCGGTGCTGCGGTGACCGGTTCGAGAATTGCTGCAAGAACACTAGTGATTGGCTCCAAAGCGAAATGTTTGCCGATCTGATTGGCCACAAATCTAGAGCCCTGTCGCTCTGATTGGCTGAAACGCTTTCGCCTGGCACGGAAATGAGGGAGACCGACGAGGAAGGCTGCATTGCGACCGAGCGATACCTCGTGATGGCGTGTGCATAAAGACTGTTGATAGATTTTCCTCGAGCACAATGCAGCAGTGTCAGTGATGCCTGAGGCGCCTCGGCATCGTCTTTCTGGCGTCGCATGTCGTTCCTATTGGCGTTCGCCAATTACAACCATAAATAACCATATTTTGGTGTTCCCAGGCCCTCAGGCCCGCCGCGCCGGCGGATCGACCAGAATTAAGTTTAAAAATGAAATCACCCATACTTACCAGAGCGCTAGACCACACTTAGGGGAGTCCAAAATGCTATGTGGCGTCGCCGTGCGAGCTCTGTAGCGAGAGCAAATGACAGCGGAAACAAATTTTTGGTATAGTGTGTTTTTTCGCTATACCGAAATACTGTATCATGATACGAGGCCTCATCACGCAGCGGTGTCACGCGCACTGTGCCTCCCTCAGCCACACGCAACACGCTCTCTCACATAAACCAAAAGGGACAGCGTCCTTAGTTTCCGCGACTTCAACGCATTTTCAATTGAAATTGCACGTCGAATTTCGTGAAAACCGACGCTCGGCAGTTTGAGTTTGGTGTGAGTGCCCAAGCAACGATGGCGCCCAACAAACTGGTAGCAGACCAGGTCGAGATCCATTACCAACTGTGGCAGCCATTTTTACGGTTCTTGGAGCTCTTGAACCCCGCGATGTCACGTGAGGTATTTGAGCACTTCTACCACCACCTCGTAAAATGGAAAATGGATTTGCGCGTGATTGCGCTACGTGCAGCGTCGGAAATGACATTGACGTCATTCAACAAGTGTGTGGAGGTGTATACCTGGCTGCTTCGTGGCGCTGGCGTGTCTGTGGGCTGCTACTCGTCGTTGTGCTGAATGGTTCTCACACTATTTAAGAAGAGGGCTTGTGATTGGCTAGAAAGAATCAAGAATTCAGCCAATAAAACATCCATGCCAGATCGAGTTTCAAACGAGCCGAATCCGCAAGCACAAGAAGTGGTGTGGACGCGCGCGAACATATCGGTTTCCAAGAAAAGGTCGAGTCTCGTGGAGAAATCGCTGCTGTTGTCGGTGCGGTGGCGCGCCGGCGCGGGCTCGGGTTCCTCGGCAAAGACGAGCGCCACGTCAACGCAGTTGGACGCCAATAGATGCTCTACGAACCTTCACCTACGATACCAGAACGAGCGCCCACGCGACGCAGACGCGCGAGAAATCTAGAGCAAACGGAATCTGCTACTGCATGAGATACGAACACGAAGCAAGGACCTCGCCGACGAACGCCTCAACAAGATTGCCGCCGCCCTGCTCCGACAGCACAAGCGCACCGTGGTGCACGACCGCGCCGGCCGTAACATCGTCAGCACCAAAGCCGCACTCAGCAAGATCACCAGTTACTTTCAGAAGACCAGCAACGATGCAACACGTCCAGCGCTCAAAGCCAGCACAGAAGGTCGGCCACTCCAAGATCCCGTCGCGGTCTCCGAAGTAGAATACGCGATGAAGCGTCTACGCAACGGCCGGTCGAGCGGGCCTGACAACGTCTCGACGTTGGACATAACGTTATCGTTGTCCGTGGTCTAGCACCGCGCGTGGTGACCATACGTTATTGTATAACAGCGTTTTGTGTGTTAAAAAGCACAGAATATACAAAAAGTGTACATTGGCAACTTGATCATGTGCTACTAGTACGTAATACTGTAGTATATATCTGCGGCTTCAAGAGGGGCTTCTCCGTGGCACATGCCATGTTCAGGGACGCACAGATCCAGGAGACCCAAGAAGATGACTCAAGAGCCTAGAATAAAAGCTCTCGACGGCCACAGATTCGTTAGACATATGGTGCTTTATGTAAACGCACTGGGTCGGTGGCAACGCTAGGTAGCAAGACGAGGGTGAGGAGTGCGGCGCTGCTACAACTTGACGCCAAGTGTTCGTCGTAATGACAACTTGCTGAAGCTACGTCTTGCGCTCGTCCAGCGAGAGTCGTTTGTCGTGTTCGGTTTGATCTCTCTGCTGCTTCAGCGCAATCGCCTTCTCGAGCTCGTACTGCTGTGCGAAGAGCCCGACCGTTAAAAATGTTTCCACCATACAACGGACTAGTCACGCTCCATCTGAAGCTCACTGCCGCCACAGACCGGTTTGCCCACGCTGCCAAACTGACCCGTCCTTCAAAAACGACTGGTACGGTGGCTGGAGGGAACGTGCACTACCGCTGTGTGTAATACACTCCGCTATACAGGGTACGCACCAACTTTCAAGCTGCGCGCCGACACGCTAGTCACTTGCGGTCTGTAGGCCGTCCGAACCATCACGTTGTTTTTGTATAAGCATTTACACAGCGCTCAGGGCTACACGAGGTCTGGGATCCCGAGGCGAGCCGGTGTTGCCGCGAGACTAGCGAGCGTCTCATGCGTCACGTCGGGTCGAAACCGGACGGTGCAGCCATCGATGACTGCCGCGTGGCCTTTCGCATTCATGAGTGGGAACACAAATCCCCACTCGGTGAAGCCGACGACGTGCCAGGGACCGTAGACGAGGCTAAGAAGACCCTCGGACGCGAGGTTCATGGCCTCGCACTGCTGTGACTGTGGCCACTTGGCTTTGGTGATTTGGTATGCAATCTCGGGTGGAAGCCGCTCCGTGGACGCGATCAAAACGTCTTCGATCGTCTTGCACTCGCGCGGGGCATGTCGCCAGGCGCTGCGATGTGGCGAGAGGAAATAAGTCATGATCGAGCTCGTGTGCGTCACCGCTTGCCAGAGACAGCCGAGGCCGATGGTCGTCGCCGACGAAATGGCCGTAAAGTAGCCAAACAGCTGAATGTAGAGCGCAAAGCTATCGATTTGGTTCGCGTATGCGTTCCGGATAGTGCTCACGTAGTGGCGAACGATAACGCCGTTCCAGCGGTAGCCATGGAAGAGCGTCATGCCCTGCGTCGTGACGTACGTCGGGAGGTAGACCCAGACAACCGGTGCACCGAGGAGGAAGAGGTCTTCCGAGAGAGCAAACGCAAAGCGTGGTCCGACCGTCCACTCGATGAGCCGCGAGACGACGAGGAGGAGCAACGCGCTGGGCCAGATGATGCGTGTGATGGACATGTACGTCAAGATGATCGAGGAATACGAGCTCGAGACCGTGTAAATGGCGTGCTGGCAGTTCGACACAATGTCCTCCGTGCTCAGCAATGCCTCGAGCGACAAGATAGCAAGGATCGGGAGACTGCGCCGCTCGCGCTTGTGCAAAACGAGGCCCATGTGGCGCGCTGCGGCCCACGACCAGAAGGGCTGGCCCTGCCGCTTGTAGACGAGCCAGATCGGATAGTAGATGGACGAGATCCGGTACATGGTCACAAGCAGCAGCAAACTGCAACGAGAGATGTCTCTGTACATGGGGCCAATCTGAGTCACGGCACCTTCAAACCACGAAAACGCCGCTAGGACGTAGGTGCCGTCGACGCTGCGCGTCACCACGGTCGATTTGGCCGCGCTCGACGTCCGCGCCGTCCACGCACCGACCGTGTTACCGTACCACGCCGTCGTTGTCGTGTGGCCGGCAGTGCCGCCGACGTAAAAGTCACCCGCACACCCGAGGAGGTCTTCCAGACTGAACACGGGTGTCAAGTAGTCGAGGCGCAGGCTCGAGAAGACGGGGGCTGACGCGTTCGAGACGTTGGCCACCAGCACCTCTTGGATGCCAGTGTGGAGGTTGCGTATGAAGTAGCCGCCAAACTCCTTGCACCACTTGGTCGTCGACGTCTTGCTCACGCGGTAGTTGATGACGCGCCCACTCCCCGTCGTGTACGAGTCGCACGGAAACGCGTCGCCTTCGCCAAGCGTGGCGAGGCAGCTGCGATCGGCGGACGCGGTCTGCAGCGACCACTGGCTCGTTGCAAACATATCACTGGGCAGGTCGAGCCGGTGTCCGTTGGGAGCGTGCAGTTGCCAAAGAAGCTGCCAATGTGCTGCGTGTCGCTCTTATCGACTGGGTAGTACGACCGACATGTGGCACCGGCGAGCGACCCCGTGCCGTACACTGGTAGCTCGTAGTAGCAGTCGAGGAACGACCTATGGGGGTCGCAAACGCGGGACGAGGCGTTGTTGAAGGTGTTGGAGACGACAATCGCCCACACGCTTTCGCGGTGGTTGCTCTCGGTGTAGAGATAGTAGCCGTACAGGGTCTTGATCGGGTCGAGGAGCGAGTTGATTGACAGAGTGATCCAAACGACGAGGCTTGCGAGATGGGTCAGCTTGTGCCGGCCTTTCGGAGCCTCTGGCACGAATGGTCCGACAGCCAACGCGACACTGCTCGGCCGGACACGGACGCTCTTGTTGCGGGCCCACGCGAAGCTCTCGTGCCGGTACCAGCTCACATTCATCGTGTCGGACCCGAGCGAACGACCTGGCTTTTCGGATGAAACCGCACGCTGCGACGCATTTTCGCGGATCAATCTACCACAACAGTTTCCACATTGACACTTGCAGGAATAATATCTGAATGCCCCAAAAGTAAATCCTGTTCCCCTGTTTCGCCTCTACTTGTAGTGGACGCCATTGGATATAACTGAGTAAGTGCGCTTAAAGGATTGAACGACCACGCAGCTGCACCTCGGGGAGCGTTCGAGGCCTCTCGGGCGACGGGAAGCTCTTGTTGACGAGGTGCGCGTCCGTAACGTCGCTCGGTCGTCGCGGCAGCTTCTCCAGCAACTTGGGTGGTGACTCTGGCGTCAATGTACACGCGATCGGAGGCTCGAGCGCCATCGATTTGCTGGAGGCTCCTTTGGTTGGCGACAGTTTACTGGGCGACACTTTGGCGGGGGAGGATTTCGAGGGGGACGACGACGGCGTCGTGACGACGGGGGGCAGCGCTAGAAGGGAATGAGGTGTTGTGCTCAAGCCACCTACTGCGTACTGGAAAACTTGGTGGGGTCAAGAGGCTCGACTTTGGCCTCGGACGCCATCGATGCCATTTTGAGCGGTGATGGACTCGTCCAATGACTCTCGACGAGGTGCTTGATCGGGGGAATCAACGACCGCGCGCGAAGCGACGGGGCTTGAACAATGGCCATGCCGGTCCGAGCATAGAGACCTTCGAGAAGAGTATTGGCATCGACGGGCAGCTCGGCCAGCTTCGTTCGCATGGCCTCCCGGCACACGCGCAGTAAGTTGACGAGGCGCTCGAGCGTCCGTAGCGTCGCGAGCGGCGCTTTCCGCAGCCGATCGACGTCGTGGAGGTCATTGCTATCGAGGAGGGGTGGGTTGAGGTGCTCGAGCCAGTCGAGCAGCAAGCCGGCAAAGATCGGCGTGGTCGAGTTCTGTGGCCAGTTGGGCTCCCCCAAGTTCATTTGGGCCTTGATCGGCAACAACGCGTCGCTAGAAACCACGTGGTCTGCCCAAGCGTCAGCGTTCTCGGCCACTTGGAGCAGCTGAAGATGCGGCAAAAGAGAGATCGAGTACGTGGTCGCGGGCAGGTGCCCTACATACGCGAGACCGAGCGCACACACGTCCTGCGCGGCCCACGCTTCGACCTGCGAGCAGAGATAGCGCACCTACGCCCAAGTTGCATCATTGTATTCTTGCATGCAGCTGCGTACGACGCGGGGTGGCAACACCATCGACGTCTCGGGCGGCGTCGGCTGAAACTGGAAGCGCTCGCGCTCGAGGATGGTCGCGAGCGAGAACCGGTTGTGGATTGTGGGTAGCGCAAACACTAGGTTGGACTTGCAGAAAATCAGATCTGGTTGCTGGTGCGTACCAAGCTTGGCTTGTCCAAGATACTCGTGAAAGCGTCCCACAAATGCCACTTGGCCATGGGTCTGGATCGAGCCCGGGCGGCCGCGTCGAACGATCGCGATGGCCTACATCGGACAAGGCTTAGCGCAGCTCCACAACCGATCGCAGGAGCGCACTTCGGCGGCTGAAATGCCGTGTTGAAAGATGAGCGTACACGCAATCGCGAGCCCCGTGCGTCCTACTGTGCGTCATGCCAAGGTTCCGGGAGTCGAAATACCGTAGCCAGCGTGGCAGTGCACAGCAACCTAACGGAGCTTGACGGTGGGTGAAAGATCCATTGTTTACCTTTTGCTGCGCCTGCGCCAAAACGGACGCCATGACCGTCGCAATGTCGAGCATCAGTGACAAGTTGGGTGACGTCATGTCTTCCCACCCAAAGTTGTAAAATTGAACTAGATCACAAGTGTATCACAAAATCAACGCGACTTGAAGCATCGTACTCTGGTGCGCCATGAGGTCCGCC